CCATAAAAGTAAACACGACCTTATTTTTTCATATTATTAGTGCAAAAACAAAAGTTGGTTACTCTCAAAACAATGAAATACAACTTATCAATGAGTAAAAACATTGCTTATTATAACAATGTCAAGCACTAGAGAAAGACTAAAAATGCTCACTCTTTTAGACCAAGAGCCCGTTTGGAGAACTCTGTTTTCGGCTTATCAGGCTTATCAGCCAGCTTTTTCACCAAACACGTAACTTTTACTTTCGCGCGCTGAATTGTGTAATAAGCCGAAAAAGTAAGGTTGGAGTTACTTTTCTGGCTGTATTGGCTGAAGTTACTGTAGAGGACCATTTTAGCTATTTTTACATATAATTTTTTCTTTAATTTATTAATAAAATATATTTTTAAAATATTTTTTTCTTAAATCAGCAGAATCAGCCACAACAGCCACTCCAGCCAGAATATCATAAATTTCTGCAGAATCAGCCAAAACAGCCGATTTTGGTGCTACCAAACGGGCTCCAAGTTACAATCCTTCTCACAATTAATTGAATATCCTAACTGTGTAAAATATTGGATGGCACCAACCTAATGTAAATCACAACAGTGCATTTGAGTTGATGTGTAACTAAAAGATCACATCATTTAGGCTACTAAGTACTAACTACTAACATTACAAGTTTCTGATATACGTACATATGTGTGGCAGTATATACAAAATCATGGGTTCTTAATTCTAAACTTGTACCCTTATTAGCAATAAGCATAGGATCATTTGTATCCACGTTGACAAATGTTAGAAAAACTTATTAGAAGTTTTATGTATGGAATATTACTTTAAATTTGTTTTAATTGTGTAGTCAATTTTTATTGCATAAAACTATGTTAGTGTATTTAAACTCAAATACGATAGTATTAAATTGAATAGTTTTCATTAACTATTTTTAAATCTTTGTATTTTAATACTTCAGCTTTATCTTTATCCTATGATCACAACACACTACAGTAATTATAATGATATTGGAAACCATATTAATTCACTATATTTTGTATAGTGAGTGCCAAAGAACTGAAGAACAAAAGAAAGTAAATACACTAATAAATAAAAAAATAAAGACCATCAGTGAAAAATTATGACAAATGCTTGAGTTGTTATTGAGAGAATATCCTGTTTTTATAGAGTTAGAATCATACTCATGCTTGAGGTAGCCTTCATTTCGTTTTTGGATGAAATGCAAATCTATAAAATATATGACAAATGTACGAAACCACAAAAGTACAGGGGTTACCCCCATCCAAACCTTACAAAACAGATACTCTGTATAAGCAAGTAAGCAACCCCATACACCAGCAAGAAAAATCAGCAAAACCAATACCCGATCAAACCAAAAAAAATGAAGCCATATTACCAAAAACACCAACAAAAAAGCAGCAGAGCACCTGCTGACAAAGTCATCCTTAAACAAACTCTTTCACCTAATCAAAACTACTCAAAAGACAATAAAACAAAAGAACTAATTTGTTTCCTCTACACAAGCATGTATCCCTAGTCCCTACTTTTTATTACTTCGTATTATTCAGAGAGCTGCATCATAAAACATATAGTAACCATTGAGTGAAATGTTTAGTAGATGTGTACAAACAATTTTAGTCTCAATACAACTGTCCTACATGAGTTACAACTTAACATCAAATGCCACGTGATATATATAAAAAAAAAACGTCCCAAAAATAAAAGAAGGACTAATAAAAAAGAACGGAGGTAGTATTACATAGTACTCCCTCCGGTTTTATTTAATCTTCACACTTTGACTTCACACAAAATAAGGAAAAAAATTTGACTTTACTGTAGAGTACATTGTTGAGGCACTGTTTGACACTGTTTGGCACTGTAGAGACACTGTTTGGCACTGTTGAGACACTGTTTGACACTGTTTGACACTGTTTTGATGTAGATTTCTTTGCCAAAAAAGGAAATAAGGAAGTGTGAAGTTTATTTTAGACCGTCCCAAAAAGGAAAGTGTGAAATTTATTAAAAACCGAAGGGAGTACATTTTTTTATTTGTACTCCGATTACTTTAAAAAATTTATCAAAATTCGTAACATTTTATTATTTTTCATATCGCACTAATATTTCATAGGTAAGAATAAAAAACAAATTAGCACTTTAAAAAATCTATTTTCATAGTGTTATACCTTTTTTGTATTCTGATGGTCTAACATAATACTCCGTATATCAAAATATACAAATTCTTATTACTCCCTCTGTATTAGTTTATCTGTCTCGCTTTTCTTTTTAGGACCTATAAAATTAATTGTCTCGTTTTCTTTTTGAAAAGAAACTCACTCCAAAAGTAGTTGCAATACCAATATAATACCGCTACATTTCCGGTACAGTTTTGTAAAGTGTTATAACATTTTATTTGTACTCTAATTGTTATAGATAATATATAAATTCTCATAACTTTTTATTACGCTTCATATGAAATCAATATTGCATGGTTAGAAATAAAACATTTCTAATGCATTATACCTCATTTGTTTAAAATTGCGAGTTTTTTTAAGTCTCATGTGAAATCTTATATGTTAAAAATAACTTTTTAACATGAATAAAAATTGATATGCATGGTTTCATATGACAATTATTTGATATATTATTGGTTTTTTAAGTCTCATAAAAGTTATGAATTTTGATATATTATTTGTAACAATTAGAGTACGAATAAAAATTGATGTTTTTTAAAAGTGCTATTTTTTAATATGTATGAAATATTAGCGGCCCATTAATTAAAAATAATAAGAAATTATGAATTTTGATATATTTTTTAGATCATCAGAGCGCAAAAAAATACTCCATATAAGATTCTAAAAAAACAAATTTGTTTAAGTTCTATTTTTTTAGCTATGAAATATTATAGTCATATGAAAGATAATAAAAATTTATGAATTTTGATATATTTTTAAATATAATCGGAATACAAATAAAAACGTTGTAGCAGTTTAAAAAACAGAATTTTTCTAAAGTACTACTACCTCCGTCCCACTATGTTTGGGACAATTCGGTTTATGATACTTGATCGACGATAAAACAAACAGATCTATGTCTGCACTCAAATTATTTTTAGGAAAAAAATTGCATATTCAAAAACTACATTAAAAACTTTACAACGTCTCAAAAACCAGAATCAAATTTGATAAAATTTTGATATTGATATATAAAGTTAGCAATTAAGAGTGATTTGTGTTGACCAAGTGAATAGTGTCTGAGATAATCTTAATGAAACGGAGGGAGTAATTTTTTTTATATATTCAATATTGGTGTCATGTCAAAGATAATAAAAAGTTATGAATTTTGATATATTTTTTATAATGATCCAAGATTTAATATAAACGTTGGATCACTTTTTAAAAAATTGGGGTTCTTTATTTTTTAATATAATCCAAGATTGTCTTTCTTCAATGTTGCCTGCGTCCTGTGCTTCTGCATCGTACACCCAAGTCGGCGAGTCGCAATGGCGATTGTCTTAACCTGAGTTAGTGCAGCAGTACCTAAGGAAATATTCTTAACTCAACATTAGATTGGTAAATATTTTTTTACTTAACATTAATTTTGAAAAAAACTCTTAAAATGAAGACTCTTTTCAATGATGTGATTTGTGACTAGAGTAGTTACAAAATCATAGTAAATTATGTTCCGTTTTTAAACCTATGCTACTATGACACAACATTATTGTAGTAACTAATAGTACATCATATTCATGCAAATATATTTTATTTTAGTAATATTTTTGTAAACATCCATAAAAAAGATATATGGAATACCTTTTTGAGTCATCGGAAAGAAATAAAATCTACACGCTTCATAATATGTAATGAAGTTTTTTATATAATATTTCAGAAATAAAATTTATTTTACTTCGTCTACATTTAATATGTTTCTCCCTCTAGTCTTATAAAATTCGTCTCACGTCACTTATCATTCTGAGGTATACAAAAAAAAATCTTCCAATTTCTCTATTTGAACATTATTGTGTTGCTAGTATTCATTATTGTTACGGGTACTTAATCATATACTCCCTCCGGTTCTTAATTAAGTTCCTAGTTTGACTTCACACATATTAAGAAATAAATTTGACTTTATTGTGGAGTGCATTGTTTGAACACTGTTTGACACTATTTAAACATTGTTTGGCACTGTTTGAACACTGTTTGACGCTGTTTGACACTGTTTTGGTGTAAATCATTTGCCAAATAAGGAAATGTTTGAAGTAGGAACTTTAATATGGACCATCCCAAAAGGGAAAGTAGGAACTTAATTACGGGACGGAGGGAGTATAATCATACATTTTCAATTTATTCTTATTTTCTTGAACTGCGATCCAACTTAAACTTAGAAAATTTTTATAGGGCGGATGCAGGATGTTTTTACTTGGACTGTAATCTACCCCAGACCATACCAGACCAGTAGACCACACTTATTAGCTTGGATAGTTATACAAATACAAAGAAACCAGACTAGTTCAGACCATATCAGACCATCAAATTATAGTCCAAGTACAAACATAAGTAGTACGATTTTGTATCACTATTTATTTCATTCATTTTTTATTATTATTTTATACAGTAAATAAATAAAACTATTCCCCAAAAAAATTAGAGACGTTGTAATTAAATGATTTTACTTTTAATTTGAATCTTTGTAAACAACTTGCAGGACTGATGAATAATCATACTTGAACCCAAAGCAAAGAGTCCATCCGAAGAAAATCAGTTGGGAGATTCCAAATCCTAGTGTAATAAATTATATAACCAACTAGTTTCCCAATCCTAGTGTAGTAACTAGTTTGAAATTAATTGTGCTCTGGTTTTTGGAAACTAAAATACTTGGAGAATAAGTCGGACTGGAATCGAGAAATACGGAAATTAGAAAGAAACCCTATGCAAGGATTCTCATTTCCAAAACCTATATATATTTCATTGCCATTTCTCCATCTCTTCACATCAATTCTCCGCAGTCACAAAAAGAAGAGTAGAGAAGTAATTAGTCGAAGTTTAGTATAGTAGCTTAATTCAATCATTGATCGTCGATCATGGTGGGGAAGATGATATTGTCGTCGCTTCCAGGCGGAGGGTACGTTCAGCTGCGGGAGGGCTATTCCAGTTTGGACGTCCTCGCCGCCGTCTGTGGGGCTGTTTTGGAGAAAAACACAAACAGTAATAATTCATCTTCTTCTTCTTCCTCCTTTCCTAAATCAGTATTTATCCCGAGGAGGAAGAGGAGCCGTCCTAATAGAAGTACTACAACTCATGAGGTTTTTATGGCGGCAGATTCCGTATTGAAATGTGGCGTCAAAAGAGTGTCAATTGGAGGAGGACCGGCCGGCAATCAGAAGAAAAGGGCGGCCAAGAAAATGAAGAAGCGGGTCATCGCCGACGAAAACCAGCAGCCGGCGGCGGCTGAGGCAGGGCCCATGCCGGAGAGATTCAGGGGCCGGATCCGTCAATTGGCGGGGCCAGGCGCGGAGATAGCGGAGGAGATGCTGCTGATCGAAAAGGAGATAACGGGGACCGATTTGAACCCCAAAGAAAGCCGGCTGTCCCTCCCTCTGAAACAATTGAGACGGACGGATTTCTTGACGGCGGAAGAGAAGGAGCGGTTGCTCACGCGCCACAACAATGGCATCAATGTGGGCTCAGTCGACGTGGCGCTCATCGCGGCCGTCAATGGTGAAATCATAATAAAGCGGGAACTTCACCTTCGGAGATGGGAGATGCGGAAGGATAGGGGGAAAACCAGCGTGTCACTAATGGTGACCAAAGAGTGGAACAAAATTAAGGGCAGCCTTGGACTCGCCGTTGGTACAAAGGTCCAAATATGGTCCGTCCGAGTTGACGGCGAACTATGGTTATCGCTGGTTGTCTTGTAGATCCATACATCTCCGGGCCTAGCCCGACCCAGCACTGCCGGCGCCCTAATCACTTAATTAGTTAGTAATGAATTTTTTATACTATGATAGTATGATATCTACTTTTGATGGATAATTAGCTCCGATCTTTCTGTTTTCATGCTTCAATATGTATATACGAAGTACTTTATAAGTTGCTGTTACTTTGTTCCTTGTTTTCTGTGTTTTAGAAATTCATATTGGCAGTTTAGTTTATTAGTTACGGAGCGAGTACTATACAATTATACATAATTGTTGCTGGTTTTTTATAAGGTACTTAATTACATAGAGTATGTATGTTTTGATCATTTTTTTCTGCTGATGCTTTGTTCTTTTAGTATTTTACGTTCCTTAATTAGTTATACACAGTACTCTCTGTGTGTTATGTTTGTGAAATTGAAATTAGTAGTTCATACAATCCCCTTTGATTTTTAGAGCCACTCAATTTTGCTTACATCAAATCTAGACTTGTAGTTAATTTAATTCACTTTCGGTGCCACTGCCAATTAACATGAAACACGATATTAGAAAATTCCATATTATATTTATATACATAAACTCGTAAAATCTTCTCTTAACACATGCATAAATAGTTAAGCCATGCTAAAGCATTAAAATGTTCGATATTTAATTACCTCCGTCCTTCATTATTTGGACAAAGGAGCGTGTTGCAGTTTTTAAGAAAAATAGAGTTATGTGGTTGATAATGAATTCATAAATTGGAAATAAAGTAAGAATGAATTAGATACTCACAAATACCAAATATGGTAGTAGTATGAGACAAATTTAGTGAGACGGACAAAAAATGAAAAATGGGACAATTATAGTGAGACAGAAAGGGCACGAGATTATTATTGAAATGAAACTTATAAGCCAATAAGCTATTTTTTGAAAAGGTAAATTTGTTTATGTAGAGTAACATGACCACAAACACCATAATTAAGCATCTAATCTGTTGGGTGTTGCTCACTCACTAACGGAGAAAACTATAGAAAGGCTGTCCATAATTTTTATTTTATCATGCATGCAACAACGTCGGCCGAAGACACTAATTAATGGCCTCCGCCTCATTCCAAAGACGTTAGATGGTTCATAATTTTTGAATCTTTATAGATCAGTTATGCCTAATTTCAACGTAGACATCACAGAACTTATTTTGGTAATTAGAGTTACGTTCTATAAGTTTACTTTATTTGTTTTGATTATATTTAAATAGAAACATGAACTTAATTAAGAATGTTTAGACGTTAGAGTACGTGTTTCTACGGACAGTTTATTTTATATTCAACACTAAAAAAATTACTTAAGAATTTTTAATTCAACACTCAAAAAATTCCTTCATTTTACTTGCGGACAGTTTGTTTTTTTACTTAATTTTACTTATTTTGTGTTTCTATATATATATACTTTATTTAATTGCATGATATGTCTGAACGATCTTCATTTTACTCATGTTTAGAGTACGTGTCTCTTGCTTGAGTTTTGTTTTTAATTCAACATATGTAAGGGTTGTTTTGTAATATTATGTAATTACATAATATTATACTTCGTATTTTCTAAATTGAACCGATGTCCTAACTCCTAAGTATATATAGGATGCCAAATAACAGTTTCAACTTTCAATATGTAATTTTAATTCTATTTGAAAACATGTGTTCAAATACAGTTTACATAATACTACTATAGAGCTGAAACCCAGGCACTAACCTTTTTTATTTTGTAAGAAAGGAAGAATTTATATTGAGTAAATAACGGAAATATAAATAGGTGTAGGAGGACATCAACCAAAGTCTACAACCAGGGCCAGGCACTAACCTTACAGAGAACTCAAACTGTTTGAATATAAATGAAAATTATAATAAACATATCATGCAACTATACACAATATAATTTCCAAAGTGATAGACTACTCCAACACAACTATGAAGTTGGTTATTTTTCCTTCAAAGTTTAGATAAAATATGTTAAGTTTTACTTGGTTATTTTTTTAGCTTTGACATGATTGAATATGATATCTTTGTTAAAATTCCCCAATGAAATTTCCAATGAATGTTTCTATGTGTAATTTTTTTAATTATTTCTTTTATTTTTCCTATTTAACTTATTGTGTAAGATTAGGCAGTCTGGCGTCTTTCTAATAGCCTAATTAAATTATTATCTAAAACATATGATTATTTTTTACCCCTAGCTAGTTTTGTGTATATATAGTTTTCTAGTGATTATTTTTTTACCCGGAATTTGTTTTGTGTATATGTAAACCGGCCAGACAGTCCTGTTTCTGATATCATTATTTTTTAATAGGAGTTTTATTTGCTATATATTTTAGATTGTGTTGAGTATTTCTTTCTAATTGTGTTACTTTCTATCTAAAGTTTATAGCAATACAACATTTATATGGTTGAACGTAACTAACAATTCTTAATTTCAATATACTCTAAGAATGCATTTCTTCATCTGCTTTATCAATCAAGTGCGTAACATAAAAAAAAAATATCCAAAAGTGATAATAGATCTACTCGGCATGCATACAAACATAATGCTATAAATTCTATAATGTATTAGCTTATGTGGTTTTGCTAAACAAATATTTACTTAATGTTTCATTGCACATGTTACAGAAATTAAGATAGTTAGGGATCGTAGTTGGATCAATTGTAGACGAACAAGTGATGACTATAAAAATGGGGTTGAATCTTTTCTTGAATTCGCAAAAACAAATTTGCCTAAGAGTAGTTGAAAGTTTCACTGTCCTTGTGTGAATTGCGTGAATGAGATACGACTAGACACTGAATTGATACGAGAGCATCTCCTGTGTGATGGGTTTTGCAAAAGCTATACAATATGGATATGGCACGGTGAGCAGTACAATATGCCCACTACATCATCTCATACAGAGGACGTTGTTGGAGCAGATATGAGTGATCATCTATACTCACCCAAATTACGTTTCAAAATGTAAATTTTTAAATTTAAAATACCCTATTTAATTATTTTAAAATTCTTGTCTATTTTTTAAGGGAAAAGGTGCAAATAGGCCCATGTACTAACCAAAAAAGGTCAAATAAGCCCTTATTTAGGAGGTTCTGTCCGGCCGGCGTCATTTGGGGTGGTTCCCGGTTGAATTTTTTGATGAAATTTTTTGAGCATCTTATTCATCAAGTCTAGTTTACTCATATCAAATTTCAGCTAAAACTTCAATCGGGAAGACATTCAAATGAATTCTTGAAAATAACTGCACACTTAGAAGCACAGTTATCTTCAAGAATTCATTTGAATGCCTTCCCGATTGAAGTTTTAGCTGAAATTTGATATGAGTAAACTAGACTTGATGAATAAGATGCTCAAAAAAATTCATCAAAAAATTCCACCGGGAACCACCCCAAATGACGTCGGCCGGACAGAACCTCCTAAATAAGGGCTTATTTGACCTTTTTTGGTTAGTACATGGGCCTATTTGCACCTTTTCCCATTTTTTAATGTGAATCTAAGTTAGGCTTGAAATAGTATCAAGTATGATATGTAATTAACTTAGTGGGACAGATGCAAAAAAATAAAATGAGATAAAATAGAGAGACATATAAACTATATATGTTTAAAAAACTGACCCGACCCGGAACCCGGCAACCCAGACCAAAACTCGATTCGGTTCATTAAAAACCCGGAAATGGTCAAAAACCAGAAAACCCCGGCCGACTTGAAAAAACCCGGTCCAAACCCGGACCTGAAAAACCCGGAAAAGTCCATTTGTGTTTTTTTTCATTTGATACAAAAATAAATTAAAGCATTTTTAACCAATAAAATTTGAATTTCAACACCCTAAAAAGAAAAAATATGCAATATATTTATATACTACTTATTTTTTTAAGAATAAAAATCCATGTCACCCTATATAATAAATGTACTATAAAAATAACAAATATGGAGTGTCATTATATATTTTAATAAGATCAAAATGATATTTTGGAATATTATGAGACTTTTTAATTTAAATGTTTAGTAACTATTATTATTAGTTGATTATTATGAAATAACTACCTCTTATTTTAATTTTGTATATAATTATATATTTATTATTGTTATATGGTCGTCGACCGTTTTATAGCGTTGATCGAGTTGACTTGAACCCATGACCTGATCACGCCGTCAGTGGCTTCCCGATCCGGTTTCTTAAAGATGCTTCCCGATATGTAAATTCATTCATTTCTAGTTAAAGGACCGGCCCGCCTGCCCGGGTGCAGGCGTGATTACTCATTTTTTTGACTGAGTGGCGGGATAAATACGTTTCCGGGTCGTCGTCGTCGTCTAATACTGTTATACAGCCCTCGATTCTCAAGTTCAGCGATTGCTTCCTGGATTGGCCAATAGACGGATGGCGGGGCTGGACGAGAACGATAATTTCTACCTGAGGTACTACGTCGGTCACAAAGGCAAGTTTGGGCACGAGTTCCTGGAGTTTGAGTTCCGGCCCGACGGCAAGCTCTGCTACGCCAACAACTCCAACTACAAGAACGACACCATGATCCGTAAGGAGGTCTTCCTCACGCCCGCCGTCCTTAAAGAGTGCCGCCGTATCGTCTCCGAAAGCGAGTGTGACACTCCGAAAATTTTAATATAAGAAAATATATGGTTTTATTTATCAAATAAAAGTGACATTTTATTAAGAGAATCAGATAAAATTTTAAAAGTAGCATTCTTATAATAAATTTAGCAAGGTAGTGTTTTCCTATTTCTTAAATAATTTGGAGTAGGGAAAAAAAAATATTAGGAATGATAGTTCAAAAGATGCCAATTGATACGATTAATATTATTTGTACAATAATATGTCTATAATAATGCATACCTTGAGCTTTCAACATACCTATACGAACATACGAAGTATATAAGTATATAACTCCATATAGAACTCCATAACTCCATATATAAGTATATAAGTATATACGTATATAACTCCATATATAACTCCATAACCTATACGTACCCACGTAAACTAACGAAGCTTGAGGATAAATATCAGCTGCGCGTAAAAAGTGGATCGCACAACCTCCAACTTTCGAACCGATCGGATGAGCTCAAAAGAAACCCTAAGTATGCCTTAAGAACTGTATAAATACTAGCCTCAACCTTCACTTACCTTCACCCAGAGCAAAGCTCGATCAACATATATATATTCATGAATACGTATATATATATATAATAGTATATATATATATGTGTACACAAATTTCAACCCGTCGTTTTAGCCATAACCGAGCCCTTAAAACACCTCTGAGATCTTCCCCTGCTTGAGAGGAGTCCAACGGAAGAAGAATCATTGAAAAATATCGTGAAACGACGGAGAACGGGCTTGCCGGAGTTCCGCCGGGCTAACCGTAAAAACGGAAAACGGAGAAGACGGAGGAGCTGCCGCTGCCGCCAACCCATCACTGACCTTCGCCGTCCCCAAACGAGTCTTCTACCACCACCGTATCACGAATCCGTCGAGGTAACCTCCCTTCCCCCTACGCATCTTGTTCCGATATACTCACGAGGAAGAAGAAGTGATGAACAGTGCTTTACTGCTTTGTTCTAAAACTTGGGCCGTCACTTTGTTTTTTTTTGGGCTGAAACTCCTAAATAATAATAATAATAATAATAATAATAATAATAATAATTTGGAAAATTGATAAATTTGAGATGAGAAATATTAATGGTAAAATTGGCTTGATTAATTGATAGTAAGCACTTCGATAAATTTGTTAATTGTTATTTAACATAATGATTTGATGGTTTAATTAATAAAAAAATGATAAACGAATATTGTAATTAATATAATAATTGGAACTTAGTAACATGAGTAGACTAAATAAAATTGGATAGATATTATTTTCACTAATTATTGGAATAATTGAAGTAGATTAATAAGTTAACACAATTACGGACTCGGAAATACCAAGTGATTGAATAATTAATAAAATCATATTAAGTTGATGATGATTAGTTAATTCGGATTTACTCATAATGTCAAGTAATATTAATTAATTACGAAATTTGAATAGTTGATATAATTCGTTTATGTTTGGATAGAGTAACTGGTGATGTGTAAATCTAAAAAGATAAAAAGAAATTGGATGTTGAAGTAAATTTACTCGGATATTTTATTCAGAGATAGAATTCAAATATTGTAATTAGTGGCAGAATTAATAAGGTAATTTGATTAAAAAAATGATGATTCGATTAAATAATCAATTTAATACATTCGAAATAATAAAATAAAAGGAGAGAATCGGGTAAAAGAATTACCAATAGAATAAGTGACTAATTATATCATCTTAATTAAAAAGGTGAATATTTAGAGACCTGAATAGAAGAAGAGAAATAGGAGCATTGGATTTGAGGTAAGTTTCTCTGCCAATCCAAAATTGTTTCCTCGTATTATATGCTTATTATGCATTATGTGATTAAGTGTGAATTTTGAATTATGTATGTGATTTTGAGAAGATATTAAATCTATGGTATTTGAGAAATACAAATGAAATACTTTTGGGGTGTTAAATATTTTTAATATCATTGAGACCATTTAGAGAGATTAAGAAATATTTTTGAAGTATACTTAATTCAAGATAAAAGTAAGGATTTTATAAGAGGTGAGCACCGCGGGAGAAATCCGCGGTGTCGGTTTTCCACATCCGGATAAATGTGGAGGGTGATTAGGGCTGCTACTACTAAGAAGTACAATTTGAGTTTTAAGTGACATTTGGATCTATGATCCCTTTTAAGAAGAAGTTATAATAGTAGTAGTCCCTAATCATTCAAGAATTTTAAAGGTGGGGTAGTTGGTAGACTGAGTCCCGATTACTCGTGACGACTTACTACTCGGAGGGCTTGGAATCCCTTTTTGGGGGTGTGCACACTTAAGGTAGTCGTTTCGTTTCCACAAGAGCAGTTGTGGTACCGGCACTTGTTCGGGGTGGCCGTCCGTAACCACGGTCCACCGGGCTCAGTCGAAAGGTTGAGCACCGCCCTTCTAAATTACTAGGAAGTTAGAGAAGAAGTGATTTTTGAGATGATCAAAGAAGAAGAGAATTTTTATGGAGTGTGTTATTTTTATATAGTAATATATAAAAATCTATTTTTGCCAAACCTGATTATTTTACGGGGTTGGGTAGTACTTACTTAGCTCTAAAGCTAATTTTTGTTTTCTTTCTTGTTTTGTTTCTGCACGATATTTGTGCAGGTGATGATGGTTATGTTGATTGCTGAATGCATGCGCCTGAGAGCGAGTTAGAAGTTGCCTTAGTCAAATTTAGTATTGAAATAAACATTTATTTATTTAGTTTTATTGTTTTGTTTTAGTTGCCTGTGCATCCGGTTGAGAGATGACCGGATGTGGCGGTAACACCCATTTCCCTATTTAGTCTTCCGCTGTACTCTTTAAATTTTATTATCAATAAATAAAAGTTTTATTTCAATCATATCAATGTTTTTGGGCGGGAAATTTGGGGGTGTTACAAATTGGTATCAGAGCCTTAGGTTGTTTTCTGGGAGATTTTGTCAAAGTGGTTTTCCAAAAAGTTTTCTAAATTAAATTTAAAAAAAAAAATAGGAAAAAGAAAATGAGTAGGAAAAGGCGTATTAGGAACGAAGGTGAGGATTGTGAGATTCAGTTGCTTGAGTTGTGAAATTCATGAAGTTACTTGCTTATATGAAGTATGTGGAGTTCCATAGCTTGCTTGAATGTTTATATGGGATAGAACTTGAGTATGACCTTAGTGAAGGACTTGTATGTTTAAATGTGGAGACCTTATGAATGCCATAGTACTTCAAGAGTTGTTAGATTAGAGGTTAAGTGGTCAGAATGGTGAAAGTGTTATGGTCAAATTGTTTGACCGAAGATGCTACTTAAGAGACCAAAGATGATATTACAATCTGGAGAAATTTCACTTAGATAGTATTTTAGTTACGAAGACGTAACCTCTCTTTAAGTGGGGTAGAATGTAACACTTGGTAATTTTATATCATTATTAGAGTTGATGCTTCAGGGACGAAGCATTCTTTTAAGGAGGGTAGAATGTGACACTCCGAAAATTTTAATATAAGAAAATATATGGTTTTATTTATCAAATAAAAGTGACATTTTATTAAGAGAATCAGATAAAATTTTAAAAGTAGCATTCTTATAATAAATTTAGCAAGGTAGTGTTTTCCTATTTCTTAAATAATTTGGAGTAGGGAATAAAAAATATTAGGAATGATAGTTCAAAAGATGCCAATTGATACGATTAATATTATTTGTACAATAATATGTCTATAATAATGCATACCTTGAGCTTTCAACATACCTATACGAACATACGAAGTATATAAGTATATAACTCCATATAGAACTCCATAACTCCATATATAAGTATATAAGTATATACGTATATAACTCCATATATAACTCCATAACCTATACGTACCCACGTAAACTAACGAAGCTTGAGGATAAATATCAGCTGCGCGTAAAAAGTGGATCGCACAACCTCCAACTTTCGAACCGATCGGATGAGCTCAAAAGAAACCCTAAGTATGCCTTAAGAACTGTATAAATACTAGCCTCAACCTTCACTTACCTTCACCCAGAGCAAAGCTCGATCAACATATATATATTCATGAATACGTATATATATATATAATAGTATATATATATATGTGTACACAAATTTCAACCCGTCGTTTTAGCCATAACCGAGCCCTTAAAACACCTCTGAGATCTTCCCCTGCTTGAGAGGAGTCCAACGGAAGAAGAATCATTGAAAAATATCGTGAAACGACGGAGAACGGGCTTGCCGGAGTTCCGCCGGGCTAACCGTAAAAACGGAAAACGGAGAAGACGGAGGAGCTGCCGCTGCCGCCAACCCATCACTGACCTTCGCCGTCCCCAAACGAGTCTTCTACCACCACCGTATCACGAATCCGTCGAGGTAACCTCCCTTCCCCCTACGCATCTTGTTCCGATATACTCACGAGGAAGAAGAAGTGATGAACAGTGCTTTACTGCTTTGTTCTAAAACTTGGGCCGTCACTTTGTTTTTTTTTGGGCTGAAACTCCTAAATAATAATAATAATAATAATAATAATAATAATAATTTGGAAAATTGATAAATTTGAGATGAGAAATATTAATGGTAAAATTGGCTTGATTAATTGATAGTAAGCACTTCGATAAATTTGTTAATTGTTATTTAACATAATGATTTGATGGTTTAATTAATAAAAAAATGATAAACGAATATTGTAATTAATATAATAATTGGAACTTAGTAACATGAGTAGACTAAATAAAATTGGATAGATATTATTTTCACTAATTATTGGAATAATTGAAGTAGATTAATAAGTTAACACAATTACGGACTCGGAAATACCAAGTGATTGAATAATTAATAAAATCATATTAAGTTGATGATGATTAGTTAATTCGGATTTACTCATAATGTCAAGTAATATTAATTAATTACGAAATTTGAATAGTTGATATAATTCGTTTATGTTTGGATAGAGTAACTGGTGATGTGTAAATCTAAAAAGATAAAAAGAAATTGGATGTTGAAGTAAATTTACTCGGATATTTTATTCAGAGATAGAATTCAAATATTGTAATTAGTGGCAGAATTAATAAGGTAATTTGATTAAAAAAATGATGATTCGATTAAATAATCAATTTAATACATTCGAAATAATAAAATAAAAGGAGAGAATCGGGTAAAAGAATTACCAATAGAATAAGTGACTAATTATATCATCTTAATTAAAAAGGTGAATATTTAGAGACCTGAATAGAAGAAGAGAAATAGGAGCATTGGATTTGAGGTAAGTTTCTCTGCCAATCCAAAATTGTTTCCTCGTATTATATGCTTATTATGCATTATGTGATTAAGTGTGAATTTTGAATTATGTATGTGATTTTGAGAAGATATTAAATCTATGGTATTTGAGAAATACAAATGAAATACTTTTGGGGTGTTAAATATTTTTAATATCATTGAGACCATTTAGAGAGATTAAGAAATATTTTTGAAGTATACTTAATTCAAGATAAAAGTAAGGATTTTATAAGAGGTGAGCACCGCGGGAGAAATCCGCGGTGTCGGTTTTCCACATCCGGATAAATGTGGAGGGTGATTAGGGCTGCTACTACTAAGAAGTACAATTTGAGTTTTAAGTGACATTTGGATCTATGATCCCTTTTAAGAAGAAGTTATAATAGTAGTAGTCCCTAATCATTCAAGAATTTTAAAGGTGGGGTAGTTGGTAGACTGAGTCCCGATTACTCGTGACGACTTACTACTCGGAGGGCTTGGAATCCCTTTTTGGGGGTGTGCACACTTAAGGTAGTCGTTTCGTTTCCACAAGAGCAGTTGTGGTACCGGCACTTGTTCGGGGTGGCCGTCCGTAACCACGGTCCACCGGGCTCAGTCGAAAGGTTGAGCACCGCCCTTCTAAATTACTAGGAAGATAGAGAAGAAGTGATTTTTGAGATGATCAAAGAAGAAGAGAATTTTTATGGAGTGTGTTATTTTTATATAGTAATATATAAAAATCTATTTTTGCCAAACCTGATTATTTTACGGGGTTGGGTAGTACTTACTTAGCTCTAAAGCTAATTTTTGTTTTCTTTCTTGTTTTGTTTCTGCACGATATTTGTGCAGGTGATGATGGTTATGTTGATTGCTGAATGCATGCGCCTGAGAGCGAGTTAGAAGTTGCCTTAGTCAAATTTAGTATTGAAATAAACATTTATTTATTTAGTTTTATTGTTTTGTTTTAGTTGCCTGTGCATCCGGTTGAGAGATGACCGGATGTGGCGGTAACACCCATTTCCCTATTTAGTCTTCCGCTGTACTCTTTAAATTTTATTATCAATAAATAAAAGTTTTATTTCAATCATATCAATGTTTTTGGGCGGGAAATTTGGGGGTGTTACAGCGAGGTATTCGCCTGCCCACCCAAACACACTCTCACTCTCACTCTGTAGCTCGATTCAATTGCTAGGGTTAACTCTTGTTTTTCGGGTTTATACTCTTTTGTGTTGTCTGTTGGGCCAGGAAATTTCCGTCAAATGAAGAGGCCCAGCGGTGGATTTATGAATTAATGCATGCGGCCCATTTTCCAAGAAGTATAGACGAAGTCCAGTTCGGCCAGGATAAGATTGAATCAGACTTGGAGCAAAAGAAATGGCTTGACACGTTCAAATGCAATGCCGCCTATTTCGGTGGGCAGTTGAGGAGGAAGAGGCTCGAGAAAGCTTATTTAAGAAGAACAGTTTGTAAACATACATTCATTCGAACTAGATCACACTAATTGCTTTTGCTAAGAACAAAGCTTCGTTAAATTCTCATTCTTCCAAATTCCAATTCAGTATTTCATTCGTTTATTTTTCTTGATTACTTCTTGTGCGAATCCCCAACTCTTTATTTGATTGTTAAAGGAAATTGTTAATTTCTTGCTAAAACAATTTGGCGCCCACCGTGGGGCATCGTGCAAGAAAGAATTCAAGTATGGAAGGAACGAATCAACTGCTAATTGAATTCCACGAGCAGTTGGAGACGGTCCGAGAAGAGCTCCGGCGCGAGATGGCGGAAAGGATGGCCCTTCTTCAGCGCGAGAATGACGTACTTCGTTCCCAGGTACAATCCGCAGTCTCGATAGCCTCAAACTCGAGACTCAACCGAAGGGGAGATACATCAACCGCTGCAACAAGGCTAGATCTCGGTTTCTCCCCGGCGGCGACGACTCCACCAGTAACGTCGACGGATCCAGTTTCCCTTACGCTGGGCCTGTCAACAACTCCGACCGGGGAACCATTCTCAACGGTCATCTCGCAGGTCATCCCCTACACGCCCCTCACACCAGCAACTACTCCACCAGCCAACATACCGGTTTGTTTCTTCCCGGAGTCCCTTCGGGTCGGAGCAAACGGATCAGGCCTGCATTCAGCAACCCAGAGTATGCATGTGACGATTCTGTCTTCCCTCCCAGCGGAGCCATCAATTCCCCATTACAGGAGCAGAACTTGTGGAGATGCTGGGCCATCTGGTGTCAATACGTCGGCCCGTACGACTTATATCCCGTCGGATCCGTCGATCCCCCACTACCGAAGCAGAACTCAAGGAGATGCCGGTCCGTCGAACTTTATGCAGGATGCCAGGAGAAGCGGGCCTAGTGTGTCATTCTTGGAACCTCGACCACGGCGTTTCTCTGAACCCGACGTATCGACAGCGCAGACGACGCGTGAGGCGCTCCGTCATGAGCACGCCCAGACGCCAGCAACAACACTTCCGTATTCAGCCTCCGCCTACCCGGACGTCGCAGATGAAATGTCTATCTTGAGAGAGCAGATGCGTCAGATGCAGGATAAAATCAACGGGTTACCCGGTGTTGCCCCACCTTTGGACAGAGCGTCCAGAACATGTTACGCGGAGTCTCCCTTCAGCAGACGCATCACCAACGTCGAGATACCCAGGAAGTTCACTGCTCCCGCCATGAAGATGTTTGATGGGACGTCAGATCCGGTGGAACACGTCGCTCAATTTAAACAGCGCATGTTGGCCGTAGCACTTAGCCCGGATCAAAGAGAAGCCTGCATGTGTCGGGGGTTCGGGACGACGCTGTCAGGACCAGCCTTGACCTGGTTCGTCAACCTACCGAATGAAGGGATCGATTCGTTCGCGGAGTTGGTAGACTCATTCACACAACAATTTGCAAGCAGCCGCACCCTGGAAAAACAAACGAGCGACCTGTACCGGATTATCCAACAACGCGACGAGTCCTTGAGAGATTACCTTCACCGCTTCAACAGGGAAAAGGTATCGATCTCAAGGTGTGACATACCTACGGTGATCGAGGCGTTCCGGAGGGGATTGAAGAATGATTCAGAGTTGTACAGAGAGTTGACAAAGTTTCCTTGTCGCACATTCGAAGACGTCCAGGCTATAACCTTGGCCTTTATCAGATTAGAGGAAGATTTGCGGGCACAACCACATGTTGACGGTTATGAAGGGGGGCACCGCAAGTCCAGTACGTCCAGGAGGCATGACTACCGAACCGGCAAACCTTACGCCAAAATTGAGGAGCGACCCGTTGCGGCAGCGACGCATTGGCTCGACGATCCTGATCTACCTCCAGTTATCCCTGACTTTTGCTTTAATGTCAGTACAGCGGGGCTCATCAACTCGTTGGAAAAGCTAGGAGAGAAAGTCAGATGGCCTAAAAGAACCGACAAGCCAGCAGGAAAGCGAGACCCGAGCAAACATTGCGACTTCCACAACGACATCGGGCACAACACCGAGGACTGCGTCGCATTGCGAAAGGAGGTCGCTTATCTTTTGAAGAACGGGTATCTGACGGAAATCATGTCAGAACGAACTAAAGCTCTTTTAGGACGAGCTGACAAACCGTCAACTAAAGCGACGCGGCCTCCATCACCTTCGGCGCCCTGCCAGGTAATTAATTTTATTAATGGCGGGTCGGATTTATGTGGCCTAACGTATTCTGCTGCCAAGAGACACGCTCGGGAGTATTCCCGAGACAAGTCATTGCAGGTGTGTCAAGTAGAAAGACGACGTGACGACTGGAGAAGCACGGCCATTGCTTTTGACGAATCAGATATGCCAGACCCTACACAACCCCACCATGACACTCTGGTCATATCCCTTAGGGTGGCAAACTTTGAAGTGAAGAGGGTCCTTGTTGACAACGGAAGCACGGCCAACATAACTACCATGCGGATGCTGGAGCAGATGGGGATCAAAGAGGAGGACATAGCAAAATCAGGATCCACACTCGTCGGCTTTAACGGAGAGCCGAGCCGGACCATAGGTAATATCTCTCTCCCTGTTTACGCTAACGGTCTTAATGTGCAGGTCAGGTTCGATGTAGTCGAGGACCTCCCAGCTTACAACATGATTTTGGGAACGCCATGGTTGCACCAAATGGGAGCCATTCCGTCAACATATCACCAGGTCGTCAAGTTCCCAACGCCTTGGGGAATAGAGTCCATTCAGGGAGACCAGGTGGTGGCCAAGTCTTGCTATCAGACAGCCATGAAGCCTACAGCAAACCCTCCAACTTCAGCATAGCAATTAAAGGGTGACCCAGCTTTGGAGGAAGATGACGAAAAAACGGAAGAAGTAGTCATCGACAACGAGCATCCAGAACGGGTCATCCGCATCGGGACAAATTTGCCAGCAAGCCTCAGGGATGAATTGGTTCAGTTTCTTAGACAACATAAAGATGTATTCGCTTGGAGTCACAAAGACATGACGGGAATTGACCCGAAGATCATCACGCACAAGTTAAATGTCAATCCGTCATATAAACCAGTCAGACAACGAAGAAGACGGTTTGCAAGGGAGCGGAACGACATCATAAACCAAGAAGTCGAGGCCCTTCTCCAAACCGGGAAAGCCAGAGAAGTCAGGTATCCAGATTGGCTAGCTAACGTCGTTGTCGTCAAGAAGAAGGCAGCAAAAGGAAAAAAGGCGAAATGGCGAGTGTGCGTGGACTTCACCGATTTAAATAAAGCATGTCCAAAGGATTCATTTCCCATGCCACACATTGACGTTTTGGCCGATGCGACTGCCGGACATGAGATGCTCTCATTCATGGACGCCTTTAGTGGATACCACCAGATTCAGCTACATTCTGATGATCAAGAAAAGACGGCCTTCATTACTGAAACAGGTACGTATTGCTATGTTGTTATGCCGTTTGGTCTGAAAAATGCAGGTGCAACGTTTCAAAGACTCGTCACCATGATGTTCAAAGATCAAATTGGAAAGACCATGGAAGTATACATAGACGATATGATCGTCAAGTCAAGGAAAGCTGGGAACCACGTTGACAACCTGGCAGAATCATTTAAGAAATTGACAGAATACAACCTGAAACTCAATCCGGCGAAATGCGCCTTCGGTGTGTCCTCAGGGGAATTCTTAGGCTATATCGTCAGTGAACGTGGAATAGAAGCAAGCCCAGAGCAGGTCCGAGCTATCATTGACATAGAATCACCAAAGTCAGTCAAAGATGTGCAGAGGTTGACAGGTCGAGTTGCTGCTCTGAACCGCTTCATCTCCAAGTCATCTGACAGGTGTCGCCTTTTCTATGACACACTTCGCAAGAACAAGAAGTTCGAGTGGACAGATCAACACGAGCAGGCACTCCAGCGATTGAAGGAATATATGATAGCCCCGCCATTGTTGACAAAACCAAAAGAGGGCGACGAGCTTCAGCTGTATTTGGCCGTCTCAGAGCATGCTGTCAGCGCCGTGTTAACCAAAGAGGATGACGGAATGCAGACACCGGTATACTATGTAAGTAAGTCATTGAATGGACCGGAAACCAGGTACGCTTTACTCGAAAAACTAGTTTTAGCTTTGATTACTGCATCGGTTAAATTACGTCCATATTTTGAATCACACACTATTTGTGTGCGGACTAACTATCCCATGAAGTCAATCATGAGGAAGCCAGAATTGTCAGGTCGCATGGCCAAGTGGTCGATCCAGCTGGGAGTCTATGACATTCGGTACGAGCCACGAACTGCCTTGAAGTCCCAGACGCTTGCTGATTTTGTGGCGGACTTTAGCCCTAAGCTCCAAACTGAAGCCGAAAAAGAAGCATGCATCATCACAGACGGTCTGCCTCAACAGAAGTGGACATTGCACACAGACGGGGCGTCGAACTTAAACGGAGCAGGCCTAGGCGTAGTGCTAAAGTCGCCACAGGGGGACACTATGTTCCAAGCCGTTCATTGTGATTTTAACGCCACAAATAATGAAGCGGAGTATGAGGCACTGATCGTAGGCCTAACTTTGGCAAAAGATTTGGGTGTCAAGCTACTCCAGGTAAAATGTGATTCCTTGTTAATAGTTAACCAAGCTAATGGTGTTTATGGAGCAAAGGATCCCAAGATGACGTCCTACCTGCAAGTCGTCACGAAATTGATGGCATGGTTCGACGAGATCACACTTGAACAAGTACCAAGAGAAGAGAACACACAGGCAGACGCTTTGGCCGCAATTGGGTCATGTCTGGGGGCAGAGGTCAATAGTAACATCCCCTTCGTACACTTGACAAGTCCGGCAATTGACAGATTGGAGTCCGTCAGCACAATCAGTTCCTCCTCACAAGATGACTGGACGCAGCCATACATAGCATACCTGAGACATAACATCCTGCCATCAGACAAAAAGGAAGCTAAGGCATTCCTCTCCAAGGTAACCAAATTCTTATTAATCGATGATGTACTGTTTAAAAGATCT